GGCTCAACTCCCCCGTAGCGGTAATTTAGGCGGGCGAAGGGCTCTTGGCTGCCGAAGGAAACGGCTAACGGCCCGATACTAGTTTGGCATCCAGGGTAACAGTTAGACAGATCTTGTTTATTCCTTTATGGACCATGTGAATCATGCAGTACTGCGGCAGAACATGCTAGGGTTCGGATTTGGGGAGAGGAGAATCTGATTTAGCTTTTGGTTTGTGAAGAAGTGATACAGGTTGGTATGCCCCCTAGTAGCTTTCTTTGGAACGGCAAGAATCCATTTTTTTAGACTTAGGAAGGCCTAGGATTCAAGTAGAACTAGAACTCAAGTAGGTTTTGAAGGATTTTTAAGGACCCGGATTTGCTGGTATGAAAGATTTAAAAGATGATTGACATAATAACATGGATGGAAATTACGCAAATGAAAGGGTAATTTGCATAATTAAGGAGGAAAGTTGATAGATAGGTTGCGCTAGTGTCCTCACCTGCCCAGATGATGGCAGTTGTGATGGCCACGCCCACGGGTGTCCGGAACCAGGGGGTCTGAAAGGGTTTGACGATAGCCCAGAACCGGTCCAGACTCAGCACCGCCAGAGTCATACACGTGGCCTGCGCCGTCACCTGGAGCGAGACTACATGTAGGATTTGGGCAAGAAAACTACAAATACATTTTGTCGCAGTTTCATCTATATGGGTAGGATATTGTGATAACCGAATGGTTGTGTTGCTGACATCCCCAGGCACATTTTAGCTCACATGCGCTGTTATTTGTGTGTGTATCTGTGTGTCTGCCTGCCTCACAGATATCAGTATGCTCCGTGTTTGGGTTCACTTACCTGACGTGACCAGAAAATTGACCTTGAAAATCGAGTTTACTGTCCCGAAATCACTTTGGCTGCCTTCCAGACAAAGAACCCGGTAGCTTCTATGGATATGACGAGGTGTATTCGGGTTCAAACTTTATATAAGAATTTATTTATCATAGGTTCTCCTGGTCTCCAATTCTCTATGGCTGATGGTAATGATAACGTATTCCGTTACTTTATGTTCCTGTCTATTTCCAGTGACATCTACAGTTATGGAGACTGATTTAAGTACATCTAACAACGAGGCAATCAAAGCGGAAAACGACAACCTGTTATTTTCCTTTGCGGAATCCATAATGCCCATTTAGTTGATGGAACATGGCACAATACCCAATGTACTTAATGCATATCAAATATATCAGGTCCTGCGTATGTCCGACCTAGTTAGACCCGAATGCATAGGAAGTAAAAGAAAATCTGAAATGTATTTTCAACTGCTTTCAAGACGTTTCATTCCAAGAATTATTTGAACCTTTTCCCTCTACGTACGCTGTACAAAGGCCAAACTACTTAGTCATACCAGTATTTTTACAACTGAGAGCTACGGCGAAGCGCGGTCTGATTTGAATGCCAGACATTTTTAGAATAAAAGTCAGTCAGACAAGCCTGGCTGGAATTTATCCTCTTTTATCTCAGGTACGCTGCTCTAAATCTAATGATCTGAATCTTCAGTAGTACGCGACCAGAGCTAGGAGCTAGTCTATGAACTGGGGGGACAGTAGGTCACAGAAAGAGTACGCAAATGTTAAAGGGATTTGGGATTGAGAAACTATTGGGAGGATTGCTTGGATATCATTGCATAATCGTGCGCACAGGAACCTTTTCCAGGAATTCTTTAAACAAAGATCGCAAGCAAAGCGCTCAAACAAAACACACCGAAAGAATTTGGAACCAGTAAGAATGCCTTTCCGCTTTCTATGCGTATAGCCGCTATAGTGGGCGTTGTTCTGTAGGAGTATATATCTGTCTTCAGTTAGTATCAATGATATCCAACAATATAAATAACACAGACCGTCTACAACGATGGGAACTGATCAGGATTCGAACCCGGAACCTTCGGATTATTATCTGTATCTGTATCTGTATCTGTATAGCCCGTATAACCGCCTTTCGGCGTAACACACCAGCTTCGCAGGCACGCGGCGCAGCGGCAGCTGGCTATATTACACCGATCGACCTGTTACACCTAACCCTTGAACATCTAGCTCTAGACATTGTTTAAAGCTATCTATTGACAATGCCCCTACTGTACTTGGTGACAGTGAGTTCCACTCTGCGATAGTTCTAGGAAAGAATGAATTCTTGAACACCTCAATCCTTGGTTGATAACTCTGGTATTTGAATGCATGGCTATTTCTTGTTCTCTTCTGGGCTGGTATTAGTCAACAACCCGAATACAATAGCTTCGAAATTAAAATGTCAACGATCGATTGACATTTGCTTCAAATTTTCTTCGTCTCTGTTCCTAGTGAATTCTTTCATCAGTGACAACTTTGGAAGGATAAGGATACTAACCTCCAAATTTTCGATGGCTATCAGTCCATCTTGTTCACGGAGTGGCCTAATCTCGCGAGAGTGCGAGACTAGGCCCGAGACTTGCATCGGTCTGTCGGGGGATTAGGCCACTCCGTGAACAAGATGGACTGATAGCCATCGAAAATTTGGAGGTTAGTATCCTTATCCTTCCAAAGTTGTCACTGATGAAAGAATTCACTAGGAACTGTATCTATACGTGACAAATGAATCTCTTCAACGATATTCTTCGTCTCTGTGCGTCATTTATCTAAAAGCTTGGTCTCTCCGGAGTCATTACTGTCCAACAGGTCCATTAAATTCTTCCAATGGGTTATCTTCCTTGATCTTTCAGTAACTGGATTGGTTCGTTCAAAAATGCAGATAAAGAGCGACGGCGGTCTGTTTACCAGGCTAATTTCTTCTCCTATCTTTAAAGTCAAGAAATCCTAACATCGATAACTGTCGAGGGATTGACGCTTGATAGTAATCTGACCGTTTCCATCCAGTAGATCCAAACCATCTCACCCTAGCCGTGGGCGGGCGTGTAGCTAACAGAATCAAAAACTACATAGAGCAATTCTGATGAAGAGGTCAACTAGATTTTCTTCTCCCAGGATCTTTGATTGAAGACGCATTTTCAGCCACGCTGCTCCTAAATCTCTTTTAAAGCCAAATTACTTGATTACGTCTGTCTTATCTAACTTCCTCCCAGGATGCGCTGTGCCGTGAGGCACATTGTTCTGTATCGTGTAGAAGTAGAAGTTCCTTCGCAGCCTTGTTTGGGGCAGCGGCGTTTAATGTCAGAAGGAAGCGTTGGTGTGGGGTTTTTAGGGTTTAATGATGCGGCATGCAGAGGGGGCTATGCCGCGAACAGCTCTCACGGGTACAGCTCGCCGCCCAAAACAAGGACCCCTCTCCGAAAGAAAACCGTCCTCTCTAGCCGCTTGTAGAGACAAACGCTACCCCACTAGAAGTCTGTGTAGGAGACCATCTGTTATCAGGGCTACTAGGAGTCCAATTTTGATTGAAGTCGTTGGGCATAAACGACATCAATCGATTAGAATGCATTTTCAAGAATGAAACTACCTCTACCTCTCATCACGGCTATTAGGGCTCTAGATTTGATTGAAGACGCTTTGTCCGGACCTCTGTGAAATAAGATTATTTCCTACCGTTTAAATCGTACAAGACATATCACAAGTGCCGATCACTGCCAGGTCGCTAAGAAATTGCACATTCATCACGAAAACGTGAGTTCATTTGTGCTGTCTCGTATTCTAGAAATCAATGTTTTCTGGTGAAAGTTATTGAGTCTCTTTCCCGTGACCTATTTAGTAGAGAACCTGGATATCCCTCTTTTAGCCCATGAACCGCATATAAATAAAAAAAATAAAAGAAAGGATTCGTATGAATGGTTGAAACATCTGTTTTTCTTAACATCAACAGTTTGCCACACTACAAGGTGGTTGCCGCCAACTTCAGTTTCCCGCCTAAATGTTCACACCAGAATTTCTCTCATGCCACTCGCTAACGGTAGACGGTAAAGATGCATGAAATCAACACCCTCTATCGTGGAGATAAGGCACAGCTGTGTGTGCCTTGTTACCTTCGGCAAGGTGGACACCTACGCATAAAGGGTCAATGCAATGTGCCGGCTGTTGAGCGAACGCTGGGCGACTGAAACCCATGCGAAATATTATGCTGGACAAATTTCTACTAAAAGTCAGCCATAGTCAACATGATAACGCCCGAAAATATTTTTCGGCAGCTTGTAGGTTTGGTGCCAGGCACCAGGGTTGATTGTAACCCCTGCTGACTTGTCTTCGCTACCCTGTGCTTTCCCTGTCCTTGGTGCTGAAATCGTCTTCTAAGAGAATCATGCATGGATGGTGTTGATCAAAATAGTTGCATATGCTAACATATCTTAAAAGCCTGTTGAGTAAAAAGCTACATTTGAGCCTCTGCTGAAGGTTTTTTTTCCGCCCTGTGCTTTCCCTGTCCTTGGTGCAGAATGCCGAGTTCGGTATAACATTACCATTCATGGTAACTTAAACGATAAGGGTTAAACCAGCTACAAGGACTTTGGATCTTTATTATACAACCACTAGACATATCAGTCTGAATTTTGTTGGTATCTACAAAGGTTTTGTTGGTATCTACATTTGAGCCTCTGTTGACGTATTTTCACTGCCCTGTGCTTTCCCTGTCCTTGGTGCTGAATGCCGAGTTCGGTATAACATTACCATTCATGATAACTTAAACGATAAGGGATAAATCAGTGTAGAAATAGCTACAAGGACTTTGGATCTTTATTATAGAACAACTAGACATATCAGTCTGCATTTTGTTGGTATCTACAAAGATTAGCTCAATACAATTTACATAAAAATCAAAATTATATAGTCAATTATTAGCTTGAACATTCACTCTTTAAACTATGTTTGGAGTTAGGTAAACCAGGGACATCACTTTCCGTACTTATAACATTTACTAGATGCCTGCATGAATGCGTACATATAGACGCTGTATCAAGACAGTATTTACTACATGAGTAGACTCCTACCTGCATGAAGTAGAAGACGAACTTGCAGAGGAACTCTCCAAACTCCCAGGAGTGGGTGACGATCTTGGCGGCGGAGAACGGGACACAGCAGATGAGAAAAGCCAGGTCCGCCACGGCGAGGTTCACGATGTAGAAGTTGGTGACCGTCCGCATCTCCTTGTGGCGCCAGACCAGGTAGATGACCAGGCCGTTCCCGATGATGCCCACCAGGCAGATCACCGAGTACACCACCGGCACGACGATCTCCCTGGCGCCGAGCTCCGGCGTCGCCGGCTCCGTGGGACTGACTGCCGCCGTGAAAGCTGCGGTGACATTCCCGTCGAAACCCAACGACTCGTTTTGCCACATTGTGGTCGACAAAACGCTTCGTTTTTGACAAACGAATGGCTTTGATAAAGACTGCGTTTAGCTAAACGGTGTTTACAGCACTCCAGCTACACGCTGATAATGATAGGGTAAAAGCCGTACTTACACCTAATGCCGCCAGGCTGTAGGTAACTAAGCCCACAAGACTACAGATAACCCGCGCGCACGGTTTTTATGCTAAGTGATCACATGACGGAAATACGTACATGCTGCCGTCGTCCCGGCAACGCGTAGTTATTTCAATAACAAAGTGATGAACACGCCTCAGGGATGAGTTCACAGGTTCCAGTATACCAAATTGATTTTGTGTAACCCTTGTTTTTCATAAATGAAAGATGGTGTTTAAGTGTGGTTTAAAGGACAAAAAACACGCAAAATTATAGTAGAAAGATATGAAATTCCTTGAGGGATTTGTCAGTTTGTGGTAGCCCAACGTTGGGCGCCTCTAATGGAAAGTAAGTGTAAAGCCCCTGTCACACATTCAGAACCTTTCCCCGACCAACAACTATACAAGATTGGCTGAAGTTCAGGAGCATTCGGACCAGATGTAGACCATTCTGACCTTTCAATACAAATCAACCCGAATTAATTTGAGTCAAATTTGAGTACGATTTGACCACCAAACACTGCTGACCTACTCCCAAACACCAGCCATCCATTAAAAAACCATTGCCGAACCTCCCTGGACACCCCGAACAGTACCAGACCTTGCAGAACGTCAGCCAAACTTGCTCCCAACTTACACCTAACCATCTTATCTTTCAAATAGCTCTGTTAGCATTTAATTTAATATTTTAATGTCTTGGGGTGGTGGGACTACGGCGCACATGTCAACTTTGTATATTTAAATGTTAATTGTACCTTTTTTGTGTGTGGCGCTGTTAATATAAGTTGTTAACTTGAGTGCAGCGTCACACTGTCCTTGTTATGTCTGTATGTTTTGATGAATAAAAAAAAAAAACATGGTTGGGGGGAGTTCGGCAATGCATGTTCTAGAGACCATATTTGGTGCTGTGTGACAGGGGCTTTAATGCTGTGATTCAACATGGCTGGTTGCTGTGTTCGGGAGTAGGTATGCAGTAAGCTGACTAAAATCTGATTCGATTCCCATCGAAAAATAAGTGTGGCCCAAATCTTGCCATACTGCCCCCAATCTACCGCCAACCTTCACCCTCTGAGTGTAAATAGTCCCTTCGAGAAGGTTGTGAATGTATGACGGGGGCTTTAGGTACCTAGATGGCAGCTGTTCAAGGAAAAATGAGATGGCTGAAGTACATGGAAATACACTAATACTAGCGGAAACGTATTATATTATACCCTTATAGATGTCGTATCCACCATACCATCTACAAAGGCACAATTTCCCATTCCGGCACTCGTTTTACTCTGCGGGGCTGTGCTTGTGACAGCTCCGGCCTTTCACATTGATATAGTACGGGCGTCCCTAAAGCCCCTCCACACGTGCACATACATAACCTTCTCTCGACCTTACCAAGAACGCCAACTGAAGTCGGCTGAAGTTCGGGTACAGTCAGCTGGCACGACTACCTTTCTATTCATTCTCATGTCCGTAGCTACAT